GACTCATTAGATTAGAATAGAGTAATACGGACAGTGTACATAGATGGACACCTTAGGTAGAGCCCGAGATAGGGCATCGCCCTAAAGGGCGAAGCAATCAAAAAATAAATAAAAAATTCCTCGCTCGTCCCGGCGGCGTAAGTAGTGGCGGTGTCAACCTATACGAGAATCCCAGCTGGTAAACAGCATATCTTTTTTATTATTATTTTTAAGTAGGAAGCACACCTCCGTGTGCCCGTGTGCTCGAAATACATCCAAAATCGCTTCCACGTCCTTCACATCATGAACGCGCGCACCTGATGTGCCTGGGGCACCGAATGTCATCGCCCCCTGTTATCATATCAGATTCATATCGCTGAGAAACGTGTGAGGGCAAAGTCAAACACTTACCATAACGATGTTGAGCGCGCTTTTCTGGACCGGGGCTTCTGGCGCCATGTTAATGAGAGGAATGATAGTTGGGGGCGATTCCTACGTCCTACAGATGAGCGCTGGCGCTGTCTTATTTATAAGTAGAGCTGACCTAATTGGTGAACACTCAAGGAAGGTGTAGGTTCGGCCCGACATTTAGATGCAGCAGCACTGGTGACGAAGTCCATCGGCATGCGTGTGGCGGCTGCGATTCGTCATGAAACAGCACCCGAGTAGTAGTGGTGGTAGTAAAAATAAACTATGTGATCATGGCCTCTGACGACACACGGACGGCCTCCCGCCGGCATCAGCGTGAGTCCGAGTCAAGCTTCATGCGTATCTGCTCCCAGTGCAACAAGGGGAACAACAGGGACTCAAGGAGGAGTTGTGGTTTCGTCGGCTTGAGGTGGCGGGCTATTCGCATGCGGAGTAGGCAAAACCTAAGGGGTACCAGTAGGATTGGACCATGTGGCGAGGACCAGCAGGACCCGATAGCAAACGCACACGACAGTATGTAGGTAGCCAGACTCGATTCGCTCAATTAGTCTGTAGTACAACCACATGTGCATTCATTAGATATCCCTCCCACGGAGAACTTGTAAGATTCTCAAATGCGATCGATTCGATTATAACAAGCGTGAGTAGGTACCACAAGTACAAAAAGTGCTTGGACAAGGGGTGCAGGCGGTAACATGCAGCAAGAGGTGACACTTAGAGATAGATCTTGAGATCGGTGAGGGGTGTGGGCGTCGTGCTGATGAGGTTAGTGTAATCAGAAGAAGGGGAGCATAGAGAGGAGAAAGTGGATAGAGGAGGGGAGAGAAGACACAAGATGGGATCTGTGCAGAGCATCAGCGAGTGTCTTTGATAAGAGAGTAGAGAGTGGGACGCGGGGAAGGAGGGTCGTGGTCGAGGATGTCGTCTACATCAACACCGTGACGGCGGTGATGACGGCGGGACGTGGGCATCACGATCGCGACTCCGATTGGCGGGGCAAGGGCGAGGGAATCTCTTCCCCTCTCCTATTCCCTAACTCTATCATCGAGCCTATTCCTCTACCTCTCGGAGGAGGAGCTGGTGTGTGCGTTTGCAGTGTTCGAGCTTGAGTCGTACAAGGCTCGAAGGCCCTTGAGTGGCACCTCGCCCGCGAAAAGGGAGGACATGTGATGTGTAAATGAAGGGCGTGGCAGACGAGACGCGACAAAAGAGATCTCTTGAGAGGGCTACTCAACGTCGACTGAAGCCACCTTGATTTCTCGCTTGCTCACTTCATGATCCCGCTTTGCTTTTTCCCACCCTCAATTTACATTCGGTCACTCCGAAAATGAAGAATCGGAGTCTGATTCTTCATTTTCGTTTTGTAACGCGAAAACATTTCCTAATTTTCATTTGAACTACCTCTCTGTATGAGCCTAAGAAAGCAGCATGGCGCAGTTGGAAGCGCGCGGGGCCCATATGTACCGTCTGGCATTCGGTACCCCGAGGTCACTCGATCGAAACGAGTTGCTGCTATAAGCCTCTAGTACTTCAATATAATTTTCCCTCCCGCCCTCTCCCCTTTTCTGTTCCTCTCCTCCTCTCCTCTCCTTTCATTTTAGCACCTGCTCAGCGCTGCTAGTGGTGTACAGAGAAGCGGGATAAGAGGAGAGCTCCGCATCAAAGAGCGACACAAATCCACCGTCCACAGTCGTAACCCGGTCCGCGACACGAGCTAAGCAGGTGTAGTGATTTGCCAGTTATATGACATCCTCCCTCTTTCTCAATGCATGAAGCCTATCAGCGTACTTCGAGTTGGTCCAAATGCACCTCAGCCCGTGTGTCGGTACTCCGACCTTAGTCTTGTTTTAGCAGTTCCAGGCCCTGTGATCGGAGTTCATGGGTTCAGACAGATCTCGGCATTGAATATGCCACACCCAATAGTTGGGAAGCACCGGTTCTTTCTGGTGCCTTCACGGCAGAGTGCAACTTTTGGCGCCACTATTTCAAGGCGAAGGAGCCTGAACAGGGAGTATCAAAGGAGTGACGAGCATAATGCTATATGTACTGTAAAGAGCCATGCATGATCAGTGGTCGTTGAGGTATTACAAACCAGCCCTTATGTATCTCTGGAATAAGAGAAGACATTCTTCCAATGATGCACCAAGTTGTGACGCATAGGCGCCACAATACCCTAGCAACGCCAATAGTCGAAATCTCACCAAGAACTAGATATTCTCGAAACGCATGTGCAGACTTCAACATGTATTCATTGAACAGATGAGTTCTATAGTATCAGCCCCAGCTGCGGCGGGCGTAAGAAAGACAGGAGAGTATAAAATAGGTATGGCGTACACGATACAGATTTGCGAGGTATAAATAGTGTGAGTAGTATATGCACAGGGATGCAAGCCAGCCAGAGAACTAAACTACATGTACAAAAGCGAAGATATCACTCAGACAATTCAAAATATGCTCTAAACATGGATTCTGTCCGCAAGACAGTACTGCCCACCACAGAGTGAACGTGAAGGAATAGCCGAGGAAAGCGTCGAGTGAAGTATGCCAAGAACCCCTCCGGCATGGGTCCGAGATGTCTTTTGACGTTGTCCGGCAAGTCCTGATAGTGATGTTTCTGAAATTCGTACCCACAAGCATAAGCATAAGCGCAGAAACTGGCAGCAGAACACAACAACACCGACCTTGTTGCGTAAAGCCCTCATAAGATCCTGAACGGACCGCCCATCATATTTCCTAAATTTCCCCAAATTCTCGATGAAGATTTTATCCAAACGCGAATGCCAATCGTTGCCGACGATCACGACAGCGTCGCGCTCCAGTACAAGCAGATTTGGATCTTTGGGATCCCTGCACATGATTTCGAACCGATCTGAAGCATCTTGCAGGAAGTTCAGCCGTCGTGCTGGGTCCCAGAAAAACGGATGCAGCAGACACGTCGTCGTATCAGGCCTGTACTCAAAAACGGTTCAGATACAGAGTTGGGTCAAGATGAAAAAACGCACCGTTCGTAAGCCAGAGGGTCAAGCATCTGCGATATCAAATCCGCCGCCTCCGACCCCTCCTCACCAAACCTTTGCAATCCATCCAAATTTTTCTCGTTTTTCAATATGCTGACCTCCCTCTCAAAGCGATCCCCGTATGGATGGCTTCCGTTCGTTAGCGTGTAGTAGAACAAGCACCCCAGCGCGAAGATGTCGACCGACTTCGTCAGGCGCGTTGTCCTGGCCGTGCTCGGCGTCCCCGTCGCAGTGCCCGTGCTCCCGCGCGACGACATGGAATGGTCATCGGACAAATCGTCCAACTTCACTTCATCACGAAGGATCTCAGGCGCCCGCCACCCGACGGTGCCTGCGCCCATGGACCCGTGTGCCGTAGGGAGGAAGCTCGTCTGGTCCACATCGAGTTTCTTGCATAGCCCAAAGTCAGATATGAGCATCCGATAAGCGCTTTTGCCCCCGGGGCCGGGCTTGGCGCCAGAGACGAGGATGTTTTGGGGCTTGATGTCGCGGTGCACGAGCTTCAGGGCGTGGAGATGTCTCAGCCCGCTTGTGATCTCTCTCAGCGCCTTTTTGGGTTCGAAGGCGATTGCGATGTCGCGCCATTGGTCTCTGTCGGGGTTCTCGACTATATCCGCGAGCGAGGCGGGGCAGAGCTCCAAAGCGATGTAAAGGAAGTTGGCGTGGGCCTCTTGGTAGTAATATCGGATGACGTTGGGGTGGTCGTCGCTCTGTTGTAATATGCTCACTTCTCGAGAAGCTAGTGTCACGAAGTCTTGGAGCAGTCGCTTGACAGCGACAGCACGGCCTTGCAGCGATCCCTGAAATACTAAAGTGCCGTGCGATCCGAAACCTAGGAAATTGCTCGTGTTCATGATAATCCTTCGATCGATACAGAGCATACACATACCTAGTATAGTCTCTGATACGACCAACGATGGAGCAACGGGCGGAGGCTTTGACGAATTGATGACTAGTGAGGTCATGGGCGGCGATCCTGTACCCTTGTCGGTCGAGTTGGCGCTGCCATTCGCAGGGGTTTTCTCCTCCTCTCCCTCCTCCGCCTCAGGCACCACGACGCCCACCTTCTTCTTCTTCCCCCGCTTGCCCCTCCTATTTTTCCGTTTCCCCTGCGTGGCAGAGACCTCATCATTGTTGTCTCCTTCCCGATCGCTATCATCGGCATTGTCGACGGATCCAGCAGAGCCATTTGCGGTGGGGTTCGGCTTTGGTGTCTCAGGCGCCGAGATCCCAGATCCCGACGACTGGGGAGATGCTGGATCAGGATCAACCGGAGTTTCCAGAGGGACAACAGAAATCGTCTTCGGAGGCGGCTCCGTAGTTGGCGTCGGGACCTCGATGTCAGACTGATCGACGACCGCCCTCGCACTTCCATTGGCTATGGCACTGCCATTCGGGGTCTTTCGCCTAGGATAACGGAATCGCTTGATACCGTACCAAAGCGAGACCATGCCTAGAACGAAGGTAATCGCAGCCACCTCCAATAGATTTCCTCGTGTTGCTTCGGCCCACTCGTTCTCCGAGGTACCGTTGTCAATCGTCATCGCAAGGGAGCTACCATCGATTTTTGGAAGGCTGACAACAGTGTCGTTTTTGACAGCCTCTAATGGTTGCGCACCACCCGCCCAAGGCAAGGGAAAGCGACCGTCCGTAGGACCATCTAAGAGCCTCTTTAGTCTGCCTTCGTGTCCATCGCCCTCCTCGAGTTGTCGTATCCCCACGAGACATCGACGGTCGGTGTACATTGTATCTCCACTGCACTGATCATGTTCCCATGCTTCTTTCTGCTCTTTATATTTCCGTGCTTTCGTAATAGCGTCAACATCTACTGGGAGCTCATCGTCCACAGGCTCCGCTGAATCGATAAGTCGCCCTGATGTGGACCGTTCGGGGCCCCCGAAGGCTACAAGGGGGAAGCGGCTGGGGCTCATGGCGAAGAGGCTTCCAGTTTCCTTGACCATTCCAACATAAGCAGCTTTGCGGTTCGGAAGCCGAGTGTCTGGCGTAAAATTGGGGACAACGTCTTGGAGGAGTGGGCGGGGCTGGAGCAGAACAAGTGCGTTTTGACGAGAGTGAGCACCGGCCTTTCGAAGAACATCGAAAATTGCGACTCTGAAAAGAAACTCGTCAGAATGATTCCTGGTAGAAGTGCGCCAGAACTGACACTGGTGTGGAGAAATGAGAAGCCCATAATGGTAGAGAATCCTTCTTTCCATGTTGATCATCCTTAACCCCTGCTTTGAATGCAATAATTTCGCCGCTGGGCAAACTCTGAACGTAGGCATCGTCCTGTGTGCGTCTATAGGTCGACTGGAGGTGGTTATCCCTGTTGTTCGGCCCATAGACTGAGAACGACAAGTTCTGTGTGGGAAGTTTGGGGCCAGAATCACGGCGAGTATCTCTTATTGATACGTGGTAGTCTTCTTCAATGTGAGCTCGGGGGTTTCTGAGCAAATAATTACTACCACTCACCAGTGCGGCCAATGTACACCTCTGTGGGTATTGATATTGGCGGTCTGCTCTCTTCCAACTCATCCAAATCCAAATCCCCGTTATCATCGTCCGACTGCTCCCATGCACACTCCGAATTCAATGTGGCCTTGATCCTGCCTGTCTCCAGCTCTATAAGTAACAATGAGGTCTCCTTCCTCCCTACAAAAACACGGCCGTCGTCTGAGCCAGGTAACGTAAAGGGAGACATGTCGACGAGTTCTGACATGGAGAATGGAAAGCGCTGGAGTGGGCTGGTCGGAGTCGCCATCACATAGATGTCGCCCGACTGCGGTTCAATGACATATAACTCCTGCGGCGTCCCTTCGTCTGTCATTTCTGGGTCATGGTCGACGTGTGTGGTGCGAATGAGAGGTGCAAGAGTCGATGGTGCTGATATACTGGTTGACGAAGGAAACGCCGACATTGACCACAAGATATTTCCTGAAGTCCTGTTCAGCGCATGAAACTTTCCATCGACTGAAGCCACTAAAATGATATCTAAAAGATCAAGGTCCCCCGTGCTGGTTCCACCGTCCACGGTCGAAGTGATAAAGGAGTATTCTGGAGGTCCGCGCTCAGCAAGAGCCTGACTTCTGCCTGGATTCGTCCTAAGGGAGATTATCTCGGCCAGGCATGCAGAAAGGAGTGTAAGAACGATAGTGAGGTAGATTAGAGGGGCCATTTGGGCTCATCCCCGCACTGGAGGTAATGGGAAAGCGCAGTTGGCAGAGGAAATGTCAGTCGTGGACCTTCGTGGACGTGGTAATTGGCGGAACCTTTTTCAGCAGTGTGGCTGTGTTGCAAACACCTTCTCTCACTGACTGCCACTGAACTCACTCCCACCATACAAGTTGCTGATGGGTGCTGCAAACTACAACTGGTTATCCAATGTCTGAATCGATTCTGAGTTGTGAACAATTCAGCCATGTATTTAATTGCTCCGCCCAGCTGAGGGTTACTGGCAGGCCTCCATTGATGTACCCAGGTTTTGGCATACTCCTTGGA